TCCTCTGCGCCTGTAATGCATGGGCCCTTTGCCCTCGCCTCTGCCTTTGCTCGCTTCGCTCGCGTCGCGGCCCCCGCTCGCATGAAACGCCGGCTCCACGGGGAAAGGCTCGGGACTTCCAGGGGCCCCGCGCTGCAAAATATCTGGACGTAGCCTGTCTGGGCGCTGTCGCCCAGTTTCAGGGGGCGGGGCCACGAGCCCTGGTTGCAATTTTTCGCGACGTTGTCGACGGGGTCGGAGGAAGGCGCCGCGTCGCCTCTGCGTCTCAGATGCGTCGGCGATGCGTCGGCGACGTCGGCGATGCATCGGCGCCGTCGGCGCGGGGAACATCGGGATCCACGTCGAGCCCCATCGGCGACGTTTCGGCGGCGCGGCACGATCCTCCGACCCCATCTATTCCTGCTCGGCCCAGGGCCCAAATCTCGGACGATTCTGCGATCTGGGCGTCGCATTTGTTTCGCACTGCGCGTTTTCGCCCAGCCTCAGGGCCCGGGAGTTTAAAATGAGGTGGTAGACCCAGACATATACTACGCCTCAGGCGCAGCATCCGACTAACCCTGTTGCATCGCAGCAACGATAGAGCAAGAGATAGGAGATGGCCGCGCGAGCGGCAATATGACATCTCAAGGGATAGTCTTCCGCATCGACGTCTGGCGGCGCACCGCAGCGCGGCGCTATCAAATCGGCGCTGAGGCCCAGACGGCCGCGGACGAACGCTCGCCGACTCTCGCCTTTGCCCTTCCTCCTCCAGAGTCGAAGGGGCGATGGGGGCGAAGCGCGAGTCCGCGCCCGGCCTTGTTCGGCAAAACAGTGATACTACAAGAGAGAGGCAGCAGCCGGCGGGCTCAAACCTCAGCGGGGTTACCCCGCAGCTCCTTACTCCCCGGGCGGCGCAGACGCTCTCGTCTGGCCGGCCCTGCATGGAACGCGCCGCTTCAAATCATGCTTTCAATGCCCCCCTGGCGAGACCGTCTGCGGCCATGTCCCGGGCGTCGCACCACTGCGCGCTATGCGCGACACCGCGCTCCATCATCTGCCGTAGCCAACTGACGCGGCCCAGGAGGGTGCACTCGGTCGGCTTCTTCAGGTCTTTGCTCGACAAGGACTTGAAGACATATTACGCATCCGCAATCAAAGTGACCTTACTTCTGAGGCCGCCCATCTCAATAAGATCCTTCACCTGAGTGGGCGCGAGCGGCCCTGAGTGGAGTTCGCGCAGCGTAACGATCGCGAAATAGCAGTCTTCCACGTCGCGGGCTGCTGCTAGCGCCCCAGCCGGATACCTAGAGCGAAGATGCAAGCGGTGAGACTTGCAGTGAGCGTTGACAAGATGGACGACAGGCTTGCCAGCATGCGTGCGACCACGCCTTAGCAGGTTTGCCCCGAATACTATAACTTATGACCTCATCATCGGCATCGCCGTTTAAGCGACGATAACCGGAGTCGCTGCGCAAGTCTACCTCGCCCGTTGGTATCATCGTTGTATAAACGATCTTCTTTGGGCAGGCCTGCAGCTTCCTGGAAATCGCGTCGGGTCGCCGCATTTGCATATTGGTCGGTTCCTCCACACGCTGCAATGATACAACGCACACCATGAACCATACTTGCGTGATGAGGGCGTAAAGTGATAACCAGATAAGCCACCCCCAGTCCTGGCCCCGCTGGGTGCCCCCCCCCCCCCCTGGACGGCGAGGCCGCGACGCAAAGCAACCGGGCGCCCCGCGCAGCTCCCGCGTCGCATGGGCGGAAGGAGCGATCTCCTACGAACGCTCGATGGAGACACGGGAGCGACAAGGGGCATGATAACACAGATAGTGAAGGAGCTGAGTGCAGAGCAATAGCCGCTGCTACAGGCGAGCGCGGGAGAGATGATGCGAGGGAGTATGTGTATAAGGCAAGGAGGGGTCGAGGCGCGGAGGATTATCGGAAAAATGCACGCGCGTAAAAGAACCCCCCCCAAAAAAAAAAAAAAACAATCGGGGAGGGGAAGGGGGCGAGGAGGGCGAGAGGACGAAAGAGGGACGAGAGGGCGAGGGATGGATGCGTGGACGCGTCGGGGGCGGCGGAGAGGAAACCACGAGGAGGGGCATGCGAGGGGGGCGGGGCGAGCGAGGAGGGCGAGGGGGCGAATGACGGGAGGGGGCGCGCGCGGGGCGAGGGGGGGAGGCGAAGAAGAGGGCGAATGGGAACGGCGGGGGGGGGGGGGGGGGGGAGTAAGAGGGCGAGGGGGGCGACAAGGGAGGGGCTCTGAGGACGGTCGCTGCCCAGCAGGCCGCGCGTCTCGGGCCTAGTCCGACGGCATTTTCGAACCGCACCCCGCGTATCGAAACGACCAAGAGCAGCACGAGCCAACGCCCACACCAGTTTTTCAAGCAGCGCCCAGCGGCAGCGACCCGCCGCGAGCGGCAAACGGCCCGACAGCACACGCACACGATGCGAGACCAGCATCGGCCTCACCACGGACGAGCCCCCGAGGCTTTACTGGCTGCTTGTGCGTTTACTGACGCCGCGCGCCTGCCCTGACCTGCTGCCGAGCCATGCTACAGCTGCCAAGCCCGACTCCTGCGTAGACGACCTTACTGCGTTACTGGCGCTACACATAGCATAGCCACGCCTAAAACGGTAATCTCTTAGGGGGTACTGCTAAGTATGAAGGCGAAGCCCCAAGACAGCCCCCCGGCACCCTCGGCGCGACGCCCATCGAAGGCAAAACGCACCCGCCTGCAAAGCCTGACTGGAGAACGTGACAAGGGGCGACGGGCATCTCCTCGGCGGGCGGAAGGGCGCCATCCAACGTCCAGAATCACCATGCCAACAATCAGGCATGCACTGACTCTGCTGGCCGCGCGACCCCAATAAAGAAGACGGGGGGGGGGGGGGGCGCTCCTAAGGAGGGGGGAGGGGAACTAGCGGCAAGACGTCGCGGGCGGAACGATCGCCCATGTTGGTGCTCCGAGCTGGGCGCAAGATGCACCACAAAGCATGCACGTGCAAACTGCCGCGCAGGGAGGCTGCGCCCTCCAGGCGGCACGGCGGCCGCGGACGCCCGCAGCCGACGGCGGAGATCCTCAGCGCGAAGCCTTCGTCGAGCGGGCGCTCGAGCCACCGATGTCCTCGGGCCCAGCAAGCAAGCCGCCCGCCCCCGCCCTCGCCGCCCCACCACCCTATCCTGCTACCGCCTCTTCATGCCCCCCTCCCCCTGCCCCCTGCCTCACCCTTCTCATCCTCCTTCCGACTCCGACGAGGCGGGGCCAAGGAGGGGGGGGGGGGGGGGGGTGCGAAGGGGGTCGGGAGAGGAGGGCAAGAAGGAGGAACCAAACCACCTACGGACCGAGCTCGGAAGAGCCCCCAGCGGGGGCATCGTATTTCTCGCACCCTCCTCCTCCTCCTCATCCTCCTCTTCCTCCTCATCGTCGTCACCGTTACCACCTACACCGTCCTCATCGTCGTCCGCCCCTCCCCCTTCGCACCGTATTCGGCCATCCTCCGCGTCATCCGCGCCATCGCTTCACGTACTGCCCCCGCATTCCTCCTGCTCCCCCGCCGCCCTCTCCCCGCGCGCATTTTGAGCCCGCGCCCTTCTCGTTCGACTTCCTCACCTTCAGCGGGCGCGCGGGGCCCTCGCCCTGGATCGCCTTCAGCCTGATCGCGACCTCGTTCTTGATCTCCTGATCGACGGCGTCGAAGACCCAGTTCTTCGACATGCTCAGGAGGCTGTCGATGGCGGCCCCGGGCACCTTCACAGTGCGCTTGTTCTTCTCAACGGGCACGTCTTCCTTGAAGACCACCTGGACGTCGCACAAGACAGAGGCGATGTCGAACACGCGCTGCGTGGCGCTGATCTGGTTGAGGCTCTTCACGACGCTCAACTCCCACTCTCCACTGTCACCGACCTTGTGCATGACGTTGCCATCCCCGCATGGCCAGAACACAACTATGCTGCGGTTGATGCACCACCCGCCAAAGTGGAAGTGCGTGGTTGGGCAGCAGGGCCCGAGGCCGTGGCCGCCGAACAGCATGCCGAAGATCCAAGACTTGAGCTGCTCATAGTCGGGGCGCTGCGTGATCCCGACGCAGTGCAACCCTCCGTCGGCGCCCCCGTGGCTCCAGCCTGGCCCGCGTACAACTGCACAGCCGTAGTCGAAGCTCGTGCAGAGGCGCAGGTTGGACTCGGCGAAAGCCGAAGCCTCGGCGGCGCGGCGGGTCACTCCCCCTCCCTTCCCCCCTCCGACCCCATCCTGCCCCCTACCCTCCGATCTTGCCCCCTACTCCATCCGTCCGATCCTCGGCGCTCCTCTGTCAGCTCGACCCTACCTGCCCATGCCCCCTGCCTCTCTGACCCGAGCAAGCGACGCGCCCTCCCACCCCCCCGCCGACGAGGCAGCGCCTCGATCAGGGGGGCGGGGTCAGGGGGATATGCGAAGCAAGGCCCGCCCATGCATTAAGCCCCTGCACGCGTCCTCCAAGGTCCTCGGAGTGTCAGCCGCCATAGGCGGGACCGCCATGGCTGACCTGCACGTTGAGCCCGTCAAGCGCGCGTAACTCCCGACACTGCTTGAGACCACCAGGCTGCGGAACAGTGCCCGTCGACGCGCAGCCGACTGCCGCCCCCTCAAGGTTTATATTTCGACCAGCCCCGATCTGCACCTCCCCCGCCACACCTCAGCCACTCGATTGTCGAGTACCTCCCCACCTCCCCTCCCAGATTCGTTTTATGTGGTTTTCCCCGAACACGCTGGAGAGGCTGGCTGCACGCAATATCCCCTGGCGAGCGGCCGCGAGCAACGAGTTGGCCGAAAATGCCCCCCTCGCCCAGCAAGCGCGCGGGCCAGATGCCCTCGTCGCCTGCGTCGGGAGGCGCGGCCCTTTCCTGAAAGCAGGCGCCCGGCCCGACATGGGCAAGTTTGTTTTATTGGTGTGGCTTCGCCTCTATTGTTTATCCACCCTCCCACGCACCACCTCGAACTTCGACATCGGGCCTACTTGAAAAGGCCCTCCACGGGGCAGTGGGGCAACGGCAGCGCGTGGTGCTCGAGCCAGATGGTCCACGACCTCTTCAGCGCCATCTTGAACGCGTCGGAGCTGCTCCCGTAGGCCGCGCAGCTCGACGAGTTGTGCTTGCCAAGAGTGTTGGTGCACCAGGAGCCCGCCGAGTTGTTCCTCCAAATGTAAGCGCCTGGGGGCAGGTAGGTCTTCGCGGCGCTCTGGTCCAGGTCGTCGCCTGGCTCAGGAGGGCGCTTGGGCGCCCCGCTGTCCTTCGCGTGGGTTTTCAGCGGGTGCGCCGCGCACTTAATGGAAGCGGGGATATTGCTGATGTTCTTCGCCTCCACTGGCGGGGGTCGGGACGGTTCGGGCCACGACGCGGCCGAAAGCCCAGGGCAGCGGGGGCCCCGCGGAAAGCCAAGCGACGACACGAGAACCAGATGCCGATCAACGAGCGCACATACACTGGACAGAAAACCCAAGTCCCACGAGCCATCTTGGGTGCAAGTGGTCTAGAACGGCTCCTCCTCAACCCACATTCTTCCCCCTCGGGGAGGGGCTTACCGCTACAACTACCCCCGCCCCCTGGACATGGACGGAAGGAAAGGGGCGGCGGGCGCTCGGACCGTCCAAGATGCCCCAAAACGGCTCCAAGTAGCCGATGAGATCCCCAATGAGGCACCGAATACGCCAACGCAATTCCAACATGTGAACATGCAATGCGCCGGTGATTTCTCGCTGGTTCACTTCCGATTGCCAGCCGCCACGGCCTATAGAGTGCCCCCCGATTGCACAATGGAACCTCAAGAGAAGCCCAGGAGAGCCCGAAGACGGCCCCAATACCACCCAAGAGCGCTCCAAGAGCGCCCCGCGAGCGCCCTGGGAAGCGATTTGCTGCGCCCCCAAATGGCAAAGCAAAGTGGATATCTGATATTGCGTGGTCGATGTCATCTGAGACCCCCCCCCCCCCAAAGAAGCGCCCAGGAGGGCCCAAGAGGCGCCGAGGAGGCCCCGAGAGGCACCAAGAGTGCCCCGAGATGGCCCCGACATTGCCCCCAAGATGCCCCGCCCCAGGAGGGCCCCAAGCGGTCCCAAGACCCCACCCCCCCGCGAGGCACCCAAGATGCCCGAGAGCCCCCCCCACAAGGACAGCTAAGAGACCACCAAGGCGGCCCAAATAAGCTTCAAAATAACGCCCAAAGAGATACCCCACGAGACTCCGAGTGGCGCTCAAGAGGCCTCTGGCCCATTTGCTCGCCCTCCTCCTCATTCCTCATCCTCCTTTTCCTCCTTGTCATTATCCTCATCCTCATCTTACGCACCATCCTCCCCCATCCCTCCCTCACTCCCCCATCCACCAGTCCTCCTCATTCTCCTTCTCATTCAAACGATTCGGCTGCCCCCCTCATTGCTCCTACACTTCCCTGACCACGGCGGGGATGAGGTAAGCATCAAGAAGTTCAAGAGCCCTTGCATGCGGCGTTCGGCGGCGAGCCGCCCCATGCGCCCGCGGGGTTCGAATCGCGCCCGCGGGCATGGTGGTGGTGGTGGTGGGGGGGGGGGGGTAGTAGAAGCCGTCAACTCGCATCCTCCCCCGCCGCCCTCCTCCTGCTACCCTACAGCCTACCCTCACGACCCTCTCCAACATCAGATTTCCTCCACCTCCACCTCCCAAAGCATCCGCCTGAACCTCCTGAAAACCTCAACCTCAACCCCCTGCCCACCTCCACCTGGAGTTCCACTGCCCGCATCTCCTAACCTCCTCCATCGTCATGCCCCCTCTCCTGCACCCGCCCTCCCTCCGAACCTCCCCCACCTCAAGATGCGAACCCCATTTACTCGGCATGGGATGGGAGGTGTGCGCGGGGTGGGCGGAATGGAAGGGGCATCGCCGCCAGCGCGGGGGGGGCCGAAGGCGGCTGGGAGCTCGCGACAGGCGAGCGCACCCCATGAGTGCCCTCCCCCGTCTCCCCACATTGCGGCCCGGAGGGGGGGGGGGGTGTTACCATGACCCTGGCCCCAAATAAGGCCATCACCTTGTACTTGACCATCTCCCCCACGAAGCACTTCTTCGTCGACGACCGCGTCGCCCTGCAAACCTTCGCCTCCGCGATGACCTCCTTGGCGGCCTCGGGATCGAAGGCGTCCGAGACCCACTCAAGGGAGAGAAGGTCGTCCAAGTTGTCCTCGTCGTAGCTGATCAAGCGCTTCTGGAGCACCGCGCACGCGTCCTCGGGCTTACAATCTGGGATGCACTTCTTGCACAGCGCCGCCAGGATCGAGCGCATCGAAGTGCCCTCGTAGGGGTAGTCCTTCATGTCGCAGATGTCTTTCAACAGGCCCACTGGGAGGTCCCAGAACGCCTCGCGGCACGCCACCTCCATCAGCGGGCGCGGCTCACCACTCCACGTCGCAACGATGGTGCACGGCTCGTACTGGTCCGAAGCCTGCGCAAGAGGCGGTGCGAATCCCCGCCCGCCGACGCGACATCCTCCACACGCCCCGCCGCATCCCAGATGCGTCGTCTATCCCATAACCCCGCCCACTCCCCTCCTACCCTCGCCCTCCCACCGCCCGACTCCGACCTCCACGACGCCCGCCGCAGGATACCCCGCGACGTGCCCCTCAAACTCCGCCCCCACGAGCTCCCAAAACCCGCCGCTCCACCCGCGCCCCCCTCCACCGTTTCGGGGCTGGATACAAATCAAAGGGCGCGCGCGCCAGGCGGGTGGGAGGGGAGGGGGTTGTAGTTGGGCTACTGAGGCGCCTTGAGGTCGATCTCGCGCTTGCAGTCCAAGTTGGCGGCCCCAGCATCCTGCCCCGTCTCGCGCAGCACGGCCTGGTACATGGGGCCGTGGTACCCGAGGGGCACGGCCTCCCACTCCGCGTCGTCGAGAACGGCGCTGTACGTATAGACGCCCGCATTGCCCACCTTCACCGTTTGAGTGCCCACGATCTCCACGGGCCATAAGATGGCCAGCTCGCCCGCTACACTCCCGATCCCGAGGTTCCACGCCAGGGAGCCGACCTTGCGCAGGAGCACCTTCTTCTGGACCAGCCTGGCCAAGTAGCGATAATGAAGCCTGTTCATGGCGTTCGCGGCCGACGCCTGCCTCAAGACCTCCACGTTCGCGAACGCCTGGCAGCGTCCGACCGCGCCTGGCGAGTACCACGTCGGCTCGCTGAACGCGGCGCACTCGTGGAGCTTCAGGGGCAGCAGCTCGGGCGGCCGGTGCTTCCGCAAGAGCTGCGGCTTGAAGGCGCGCGGTTCAAATGCAGAGTTCCTCGGCGCGCCGGCGTGGTCCACAGTGACCTCCTTATAGTCGTGGCACGCCGAGATGACCTTCGAGTCCACTGTGATGGCCATCGCCGTCTGGGCACAGCACAATGTGTTTTTGTTCTGATCTACGCGCCCCTTTATCTTGTCGAAGGCGTCCTCAACGATCTGCGAGCAAATGAAGCGCTTCATCCGCTTCTCAGCGAACTCGAGGAACCTGGCAGTGGAGGGGTCGGGCTGCCCAACAAGCCGATCCCCCATGCGCCGAACCCCGAACAAAGAAAACAGCCTGGCGGATGACCCATCCATATGCAGTGGTGGGTAACGCAGGTGTGAAAACCATCACCGGTGGAGCCCCGTATGGGGCCACGAAACGTGTGAGGGGCGTGCCGAAGTGGGTTGGCGGGTGGGGGAGGGTGGTGGGCGCATGTGGGCGGTGGCGATTCAGCCTTCGGTGGAGCTCCCTATGGGGCCACAAACCGTGGGAGGGGTGTGCCGAAGTGTGGGTGGGGGGGGGGGGGGGCGGACGGTGGCACAGGGGCCTTCGGTGGAGCTTCCTATGAGGCCACGAGACGCGTGAGGGGCGCGCCGAAGTGATGAGGGTGATGATGACGACGACGACGATGATGATGACGGCGGTGACGACGATGATTGTGATGATGATCATGGCGATGGTGATGACGACGACGATGGTAATGATGACAATGGTGACGATGGCGATGCACGATGCAGATGATGATGGGGGGGATGGAGGAGGGGGGGAGGAATGAGGAGGAGGAGGGAGACGCGGGGCGCTGTCTCTTCAAAACGAAGGCCTAAAACCCACGGGACGGGCGGGAAAAAGCAACGGGCGCGCGGGCAAGGGCGACGAGTGCAGGGCGAGCGGACGAAGCGGGCCTCGGCAAAACGGGAGGGTGATGGGGGGAAGCCGAGGGGCAAATGAGGAAGGCAAGTGCAGGGAGGGCGAGGGAAGACGAGACATGGGGAGGGGCAGGGGCGGGGCAGCACCGATCCTGGCACGCGACCAGGGGCAGTAGGGGGGGGGGGGGGGGCGCCACGTCCACCCCGCCCCCCCCCCCCCACACCTATCGGCACATTCGCGCGCAAGCCGCCACCCCCGGAGCCAAGATACCAAATACCCTCTCGCTCACCACCGCCCCTCCCCCACGCTGCTCGTCGCCCCTCGCGCGCCCACGGCAACGCTTGGCGCCGAAAGCGTTATGTCAACCGCTATGCGCCTGGGCGTGATCTGCCAGGCGTCCCGCGCGAGGCAGAACTGCAGCTGCTTCACGCTCGTCCGGTGGAAGAGGGAGCGATTGATCATGGCACGGCTGCCAGGGAACGCGCACTTGGCCAGCTTCTCGAAGTTGGCGAGGTCGCCGCGGAATTCTGACAGGAAGAGGTCCTGCGTGGGCTCAGCCAAGGCCAAGACGAGGCGCCAGGGATATCCATGACTGAGCGGAAGGTTCCTGCGCGCGCTCTCCCCCACGCTGGCGAACACCAAGTTGACCAAATCCTCGGCGAAGGCATCTGATGCTGCAAGCCTGGGGTGCGCCAAGTGCATATTATTCCCGCCGCCCCAAGCCGACTCTATCCCCATGTCCCCGTAGAACTTGCGGGCCACGAGGACCGTCATGCTCAGCTGGGAGGTCTTGAACAGGCCGCCGCCCATCTGCTCCTGCTCAAACGGAATGACGTTGTCCACGGAGCGCAACTCCTTGCTCTGCCTGCGGGTCGTCGGAAGGGGGGGGGGGGAGGCGAGGGGCGCCCTCGTCGTCGCCTACATCTACATCTACCCACCCCATCCTCCCTCCCTCCTCCGCCCCTGCCCCCCCCCCCCCCCCCCATCAGCCTCCCCTCCCCTGGGAGCGGGGAGGAGGAGGAGGAAACGGAATCGCGGGGGCCGCCCCCGCCCGCCGATGTCCGCACCGCGCCGAGGGGCCAGCGCCACCCTCGCCGCGCCCCCGACCCCTCGCCCCATCGCCAGAGAAAACCAAACCGCAATCATGCCCGCCTCCTTTTAGTCCAGCGGGCCTACCTGCTGTGGAAGGCCGACACGGGGAACGGGACGTTGCATATCCGCCGCCGCGCCCAACGGCGCGAAGTGGGGCCCTGAAACTGATGCGAGATATCGGCCTCGCGCGCCGCAAGCATGAAAATTCGGAGACGCCGCTTGCGGGCACCTCGCGGGCGCCATGATGAGTTGGGCGGGGCGCCCCGCAAGGCCATCATCGGGGCAAGCGAAGTCGCCGAGCAGCCGATGCGGGAGCCATGGGGGTGGGGGTGCCAAGGCGGCCCAGTGCGCTGAGACGGCCGAGGAGCGCTCCAAGATGGCCCCAACTTCCGTGCGAGACGGCATTAGACGCCCCCGAGGCGGCCGCCCATCGGCCAGTGGCCCCACCGCCCCGACATACCAACAGAAACTGTGAGACGCACGAATATGTAAATGGTGGCCGGGCGACCGCACCTGTGTTTTCCATGCTGCGATTCAGATTAAGTGCGCCCCGCACCCCCCCATCCAAGTGCACCGACACGCCCCCCCCCCCCAGACGCCACGTAAGGGGGCCTGTACGCTGATCAAGACACGCCGAGTACTGCCATGGATGCCCCAGCGACGGCCCCAAGAGCAACGCCCGAGGGCCAACACGGTAGACGCGAAGGGTCTGTTGGGGCGCCCCAACAATTATGCTACCACAGACCCCAACCTCACCCTCACCAACTGGCCGCAAATATGCCCAGATGGTTGGGGGATCACCGTTTCCCCCTTCCCCGTATGCCATTGGATGCCCCAGAGATCTAAACACCCCCCCCAACGGAGCCCCTTTGCTGCCTCTGAGGGCCACTGCCATGTAAAACAATCCAGGGACCCCAAGACCACGACTAAAGGCAAATAACGGGACATGCCGAAGGCCTCTGGATCACCTTCTGGCGGTAGAAGTTAGTCGTGTCTCCGAAGATCCAAGCTGCCCTGTCCAATTGGTTCTTGGACTGCTCCAGCGCCGACATGTGGGCAAACTGGGACAAGGTCGCCTTCCCGTCGACCTGCATGGGGCCGTCGCCGCCGCCAACGGCGGCATCAACGGCCAAAGGAGGACGATCCGCTCTGCGCATCCCGAGGCCGATCGCCGCGACGTTCAGCAGGTAGGCCTTCACCGCATACTGGCTGACGGTCTTCTGCGCGATCGAGATCGGCGCCTGGTATTTCCCGAGGTTGATCTTCTCGCACTTCGACCAGAGCAACTTGTGCTCGCGCAGCCCCTCGCGCAGCACCTCCGAGGAGCTCTCGCCACAGCCGTCAATATGATAGCAATGTGATTTCAATGTGGCCGCGCGCCCCCCCTCCCCCCTGCCCGCCATCCGAAGCCTCAAGCATGCGACGAGGGCCCTACGGCAACAACCCTGAATACCATGACCTAGAAGACCCTAACCCTGAGACGACAAGACCCGCACGCTAACTCAAGGGCCCTCGCGCTAAGTCGATAAAAAATTGATCCTGAACCTCAGAGCACGACCCCCAGGGCCCCGACAGTATCCTAACATGACGACCCCAATCATACGACCTGAACCTGATGGCCCTGGCTCCAGGGCCCTGACCTCCAGATGTCACTCACCTCCCTCCTCAGACTCTGACATGCCCTTCCCTTCCCCAGCCATGCCGAGTTGGCTTCCCGCGCTGCCTGGGTCTGGCACCGCCTCCACCGCGGCGGCGGCGGCGTCGCGCTCGTCGAGCGCCATAGCAAGGCGCTCGCACGCCTGGGAGTACGGCTGGCAGGTCGCCTCGGCGGAGGCCGAAGCAATTACAAGTAATAACATTGCCGAGGAATGGAGGGTGAAAAAAACTAGCCTCGATCTCGTACCACAAGCGCCATTGGTCGTCAATGGCAGACTGAGCCGCCGCCTGGGCAGCGTCGAGGCGGGCGTAGAGGTTCCCCTTGGGGCCCAAGTAGCGGGCGTCGAGGTTCGCCTCCGTTGGGGCGGCAGCGGGCGGCGCCGCCGCTGGGGCTGCATCGTCCGCGGGCGCCGCCGCCGCTGGGGCGGCATCGGCGCCAGCTGCCGCCGCGGCGGCATCGGGCTCGGGCGCCACCACCACTGGGGCACCATCGCATGCGACCCGTGCCACCCGCCACCGCCACCGCCGCTGGGGCGCCACCGCCGCTGGGGCGGCCGCTGGCGCTGCCGCCGCTGGGGCGGCATCGGGCGCCGCGACCTGGCCCTGCGGGTTGGCCCCCGCTGCCTTCGAGGGGAACTGCGGCGGGGGCGAGGGCGGCGGCTCGAGGCGCGGCAACTTCTTCGGTTTGGCCAGGTATATTGCGGGCGGCGGCTTCGAGGGCGGCCCCGGCAGCATTGCGCGCGCCGATGGCCAGCCAGACCCTCGCACCTCGGTAACCTCGCGGCTACGGGAGTCGCTGAGCTGGTGGCCAGCCAGACCCTCACACTCGCTCCCCCATCAGTCCCCCTCTCTACCACCTCGCCGCCTCCTCCTCCCCCTCAAACCCCATATCCTCCATCCGCCCCTCGGCCAACTAGCCTATCCGCGGGCTCGTTCCCCATGATATCATCCCTCCCGCCGCCGTGCCAAACAGCAAGCGAAAGCGAATCCTCGAGCTGCCGCTTCATGAACGGCGCGTGCAAGTGGAAGAGGTGGTCGTTCTCGAGGCTGCACCCGTCAATATGCTCTAAGACAAGTTCGCGCACCTGTTGTAAGCGAGGAGGTGATAGTACAGAGCCGTACATGCAGTTCTGGGCTGCCGTCATCATTACCTGGAACCGCCACATGCCAGCTTGCCTGCGGGCAGGGGGGAGGAGGAGGCGCGCGAGGGAGGGGGCGAGGGAGGGGGCATGGGAGGGAAGCGGGGCACGAGAGGGGGGGTAGACGGAGCGGGACGGGAGCATCAACGGGGAGAAATGGGACGGACGGGGCACGAGGAAGCGGCGATGAGGGAGGGCCCATGTGCATAATCAAAACGAAAAACATGGCGTGCCTGAGCGCGCCTTTGCTCGCATTAATGAGCGAATGGCTCACGTCGAAGTCCACGTCTATGTTCAATCCGACCTTGTAGGTCAAATAATCGGCCATGCAGCACATATATGGCCCCATGTCTGGGGCCAGATTCAAACGCGGCCACGTGCACGGGTCCTTCGCGGGGAGGCCGCCCTCACCGAACTCGACCTTGAAGTCGGCCAAGCTCCTGCGGCAACAGCCGCGCAACATGTTGTTGACCATATCTGAAACGTTTTCTGGCGCTTCCGCTGCCTGATCGGCTTGGCGGGGTCGCTGGCCTCCAGCGTGCACCCCAGCTTCCGCTCGACGACCGCCCTCGGGACACGGGGGCGGGCGGGGGGGAGGGGGGGGGGGGGGGGGCAGGAGGTGGACATGAGGGGGGAGGACAAGTCTCAGTGACGGGTGGACGGGGGGGGGGCTCGCGCGCCCAATCCTGAAATGCTGCTCCTGCTCCGCCCGCAGCCTCGACGCGCCGCCCTCGTCCTCGAAGCACGCGGGGCCGCAGTGCTGGGCGGTGACCTGGGCCGCGGGGCGGGGGAGGCCGAAGGGCGGCAGCAGGGGGGCCAAAAGTAAGCCCACGGAGGGTCCTGGGGGACTGGGGGCGGATCTGGGGACCCCCGAAACCGCTCGAGACATTCGCGAAACCACACCGGAACAACCACCCCCGGTCCAGGTCCCGGGAGGTCGCTTTTAAGGCCCCCCGCCCCTCCCCGAGACGCCCCCGCCCTACCCCCGCCCGCCCCCCGCTGACATCCCCCAAAATCCCGAACCCACTGCGGCTCCCAGTGCGGGGGGCCCCACTCGATGGCTCTCGGGGCCCTCAGAGGGAGGGCCCCCAGAGCCCCCCAGCAGGGGCCCCAAGAGGGCCCAAGAGCCCCCCGAGAGGGCCCCAAGAGCCCACCATGAAGGCCGAACAGACTTAGACATAACTGTCGAAATCTGTCGGGCCCTCTCGGGGGGCTCCTGGGGCCCTCAGAGGACCCAAGAGCCCCCCGAGAGGGCCCCGAGAAAGCACATGAGCCCCCCAAGAAGGCCCCAAGAACCCCCCAAGAGAGCCCCAAGAAGGCCCAAGAGCCCCCCAAGAGGGCCTCTTCGAGCCCCCCAAGAGTGCCAAACAGACTTCGACATAAATGGCGAAATATGTCAGGCCCTCTTGGGTGGCCCCCGGGGCCCTCAGAGGCTCCCAAGAGGGCCCCAAGAAAGCCCCCCGAGAGGGCCCCAAGAGCCCCCCGAGAGGGCCCCAAGAGCCCCCCACGAGGGCCAAACAGATTTCGACATTTATGTCGAAATCTGCCAAGTCCTCATGAGAGGCTCTTGGGGCCCTCAGAAAGCCCAAGAGCACCCCAAGAGGGCCCCGAGAGGGCCCCAAGAGCCCCCGAGAGAGCCCCAATAGCCCCCCCAAGAGAGCCCCAAGAAGGCCCAGGAGCCCCCCAAGAGGGCCCCTTCGAGCCCCCAAGAGGGCCATGCAGATTTCGACATAAATGTCGAAATCGGCTGGGCCCTCTCGGGGGGCTCCTGGGGCCCTCAGAGGGCCCCAAGAGCCCCCCAAGAGGGCCCCAAGAGGGCCCAAGAGCCCCCCGAGAGGGCCCCGAGAGCTTCCCAATATTGCGACATAAATGTAGAAATCTGCTGGGCCCTCTCGGGGGGCTCTGGGGGCCCTCGGAGGGCCCCATGAGCCCCCCAAGAACGCCCTCAGAGGACCCAAGGGCCCCCGAGAGGGCCCCA